ACTCACTTAAATCTAATTGATTCCTGGTCATCTAATTGGAGAATTAAAATTAATCCAGATAAATCTGTGTACGTTCCCTTCACACTAAAAAAATCTGTTCCACCCCCTCCCCAATTCCAAGGTATACTTATTCCAATATCCTCGGAAGTCAAATATCTTGGTGTCACACTCGACAAACGATTAACTTGGGGCTCCCACATTAAATCTAAAAGAAAAATTCTCAACAGCAGACTCCATTTACTACGTCCAATCCTCAAATCAAAATTACCTTTCCACACTAAAATTATTATATACAAATCCCTATTAAGGCCTATTTGGGCATATGCAATCCAAATTTGGGGATGTGCAAAACCATCCCAACTTCGTACCTTACAAGCTTTCCAATCTATCACTCTACGTATTATCTCTTCTGCCCCATGGTATGTATCAAACTGCACACTTCAAAATGACTTTAAAATAGAACCAATAAACCACTTAGCCATAAAACACTACAAAAAATTTCATTCCAAATTACACACTCATTCTAACCCTTTAATATCTCAACTTGCTTCTAATTCACTCCCCGGAAATCCACCTCGCCGACTCCGAAGACATTGGTGTCGAGATCTGTTAATACAATAATTCAAATCTAATTAAAAATAATTAGAACAAAAATCACGTTGGGTTCTATTACTGGATAGCCTCCCTCCTCATATCAAATCACCGTTTCTATTTGTTTATTTTTTTTCCCTCTCTCTGTATATATAACAATGTAACTATTTGCTTATTATGCCTTGCAGCATAGATTGTAAATACTCTTTAATAAATAAAAAAAAAAAAAAAAAGGAACTCCTCGTGTATTTAAATACCTTTCCCACTCATTGACAGCAAAACTGCATATTTCAAACATTTATTCGAATATTGAGATGTATTAATAAATTTGATAAAAATAAGCATTATAAAAAAATAAAAACTCTAATCAACAGCTAAAACGTAACATCTATTCTGTGGTAATACAATCAAAACAACAAGTTTTCATAATAGTAGTTAAAAAAAAAAATACAACTTCTGCAGAAAATGTCATCTTAAATTCAATATTAGATATTTTATCAATAGTAAAGTTCAAGTATAAAATAATCAAATTTTGTTTGTCGAACAATATTTTAGATATTATTATGTTTTTCCATTTCTTTGTCTTTATCTACTGTCACCTGTTTCATTTAACCAAAACATAAAAACCTCTTTTGCAATGTAACACTTAATACCATATCCCCCTCCATCATATTGTGTCTATGTTAGTCTTGCAAAATCATCCAGACTTTGTGAGTAGAGTTTTACAAGCCTCATAACCTTCAACAGTTTATACAAATACTGTTGTACTTGAAATTAGAACTGCTAATTATTAATAAATATATAGTTTTTTTTTTAATTTTATAGTATTGTAATTAAATAATTAATTGTCAAAATATAAACATAATAATAGTGTGTTGTGTTTTCTTTAGTATTTTTTAACATATTATATTCAATTTTAGTTGAACAACACAATTAAAAAAAAAATTAAATGAATTTCGACGGCGATATTTAATGAAATAGTGTTAATTAAATTAATGGACTGATATAATTTTGTATCCAAGTAGATTTATGTTTACATTTCATCAGAATAGTAATTATTCTTCTTTCCGTCTCTCGAGTGAAACACTATTTGGTCGTTGACAAAAAATCAAGGAATAAAACTTTATCCCTCTCTCATTTCTTCATCAACATTATCGGATATCATTTGTATCTCTCCACGGCTCTTTTTTTTTTTTATACATTTTCATTTCGCTTAATGACATTTTAAAACGACAATTTGCATTGTCATCGAAGCGTGTAACAAATTATTATGAAAAAAGATCATTTTTCCATTTATAAATACACACTATACTATACATGTAGCAGAGTAGAAAGTTCTGCTGATGTTATTGTAACGATTATAATTAAATTGCTGATGTCAAAGTTGAGCAATCGTCAATTCTATAATCATGCCAAACACTTTTATTTGGCCATTTAAAAGCTGATCCTTAAAAACCGCTCCCAGTTAAGTTTGTATACACTGTTGCTACCACCCTTTTTTGAGAGTAAACTGAAAAAAATAATTTATATCGTGCAAAAAGAAAACCTTACCTTTTCTCGCCATATTTCTTCAGTAGTAATAAAAAGTGGTCTCTCAGCATTCTCATCTATTTACTATATAAGATCACACAACAAGTGACGAGTGGATGTTTTTCCTAGAAAACAATTCAAAGACAACATATTCATTGTAGAGAAATGAATAAAAGTCACAATTTAAAACTTAAACATTTACAATTATTATCAGAGGTTAAGATTATGTGGATAAAATAGTAAAAATTATCTCGTTTTTAGAGCTTCGAATATAAAATTTTGTTCACAAATTATAGCTGTGCTATTTCGGGCAAAAGTCTTATGAATTCTCTTTGCCAAAGACCATCTAAACACGAGTCTAAATCCTTAAAGTATTTTACAAATTCATAATTTGGTAAAACTTTCTATACAACCAAGTTACATAACCATGACACGCGTGACTTTGATGATGACAGTTCTAAAACGCCCAACCTTGTACATTATAATAATATGTAAGTGCCAAGACCAAATATGTTTTTGGTAGCCAAGTTGATATCAGATATTAAACAGGTAATAACAATGCAATACTATGGTAAATCCGCGGAGGTTCCCAAAACCCATCCCCTAAAAATCCACTCTTTTTTACCCAGGTAACATTTTTTAACTTTACACTGTTCAAATTCATTGATATTTTTAAAAAGTCAAATTTTGTTGTATTTATAAATCAAACATAACACTGTGGTCTATAACACTAGATGATTGAAGAGTATCTTTAGTTAAAAGTTCAAACGTTTCAAGGTCACCGCGAAGAGCTTATTCGATTATGAAATATTTATGAGTTAACTATTAAGCCATAAAGCCACATGAAAGTTTTTGCTAAAAAAATTGTCTTTTTTTGGACACCAACAACTCCTAGAATTTTCGACAATTTCAAAAAAGCCATTAGAAATCTTGGCGGTTAAAACAATTGGTCGAGTGGCAACTGGCTCACAGAACCGAGTAACACTTTTTAACACTCTAAAATCATTGTTCAACATTTGTTAATTTATTTTTTCAAGATAATTTTTAGAATGAACTTTCAACTGTAAAAGGTAAGTAATTTTTTTTTTTTTTTAATAACTTAGCATTTATTTGACTGTCATAGTTTGTCCAATAAACGTTGTTTATTTTTTCAAAACCGGTTCTAGTAGGTATCGTTTTGATAGTTGACTGATAATTTATGAGGTTTTGGTTCACATTACACAAATTCAAAATCATTTAGTACTATGTTATATTTATTTATTGCCAGTGAATCTAATGCTCGTTGCCAAATTGTTGAAACAATGCGTTTGAGTGTAATATAAATGTTTTGCTTTACAAGAAAATTGGAAACTATCTATAATAATTATTTCAATGACAAATGACTGGAATTAAAACCATTTCAGAAGAATAGGTATTAGATTGAATGTGCAATAAATGTGGAAATCGCGAAGAATAGGAAACAGTGCAGTTGTAATGTTTTTAGTTAATTTAATTTTAAAAAAATACTTACAATTTGTGTCACTTTGATGTCTCTCTTTTTAGCCACTTTGCATTTACAATATTATGTTTCTTCCAATTCTTTCTAATATTTATTTAAATTAAACAGCTCAAAAAAAAAATATAGGTTTGAAAAATAATAACACTTAGACCACAGTAAAATATTAATATGTATATTTGTATCTTTGACATTATAAACATAGAAATAAAATATATTCTTTAATAAATATTATTATAAATATATAAAGCGAGCCCATTATACAAAAATACAATGTAATAACTTGTGGAAAATAATAATAACTATAAATATATCAATAAAACAAGTTGCTTATATGTTTAAATTTTACAAATTACAATAGAAATATAACAATATGAATGATTCGAAATCTAGTAGTAACAAATAAAAAAAAACATTTGGTCATATAATACTGTGAATAATAATAATTAAGATTAACAATTTATACACAGTTTGGAGAGAAAAAACATGTCAAGGCCTGTGAACATTGTTTTGGCTTTAAACATATTTTATCATATAAAACAAAAAAAATTATTAGACATACAAAAATTATTGTAGTCGAATTATTGTCGATGGCCTAACGTCAAATGTATAAATATTTATAGTGAAAATATTTTAAATAATTATCAATTAAATATAATAACATAACCGTGTACATTTCATTGTTAATTCGATAAGTATTGCATATAATAATAAGATAAATTGTAAGTACAAAAGGGTCATATTGTGTAAAAACACAAATTAATGATTATTGCTGTTCTAAGTGAAGATAATGTTTTCATCAGCAAAAAACGAAAACAAAAAAATTAATATAACCACAATATACATATACGTCGTAATAAAATATATAAAACGGTGCATCACAGCCCAAGTTATGTTAGGCAACATATAGGCGAAGTTTGAAAGTCTCAAAGTTTTCAATTATTGCTAAGGAATCGTCGGACAAAAAGCCGAGAGTTTTACCCGGAATAATAATAGTAGTATATAAATAAGAAATAAAAATACAAAAACAAAATGTATAAAAAAAAAAAAATAATAAATAACATACGTTAAAGCTCCAAGTTTACCACTAGCCTTTAATTTACATCAAGAATTCCAATAGAATAATACCGATGAATTCAAATAAATATAATTTTCAAGAAAATATATTGTGGTAAAAAGGTAAATAGGTAAATAATATTTTAGGATAAAACAAATGCAACAAGAAAGACTTATAACAACCATAAGATGACGACAAAAAAAAAAAATTATATTTATATATAAATGAATATTGTTTTTTTAAAATAATAATAATAATAATAATAAAAAAAAATCACTGGATAATAATTATTTTTCAAAAAAGTATTATCATCACATATCACGAGATTTTTAGAGAAAAATCGTTTTAGGCATAAGATGCATAAAAAAACCTAAAAGACAAGAGTTAATAATTGGAATGGAAAATTAAGGTCCAATTAAAGTTAATAGTAATAGTAGTAGTAGTAGTAGTAGTAGTAGTAATAGTAGTAATAATAATAATAATATTTATAAAATTATAATTATTATTAATTATTGTCTAAGTATGTCCATAGTAGTTTTTCCTATTTGATATAAACAAAGAGATCAACTAATCAGTAATGAAGATGGTTAAGTTTTTTTTTTAAGAAAAAGAATTATGGGTCAGAAGTAAATCACCTCCTCTTCTGCAGTGCCTGTGGTCGAAGTATTATTATTGCCGCTGCCATTGTTTGGAGCCGTCTTCGACTGCTTTGAATCTGGACTGCGGATTCGAAACTTGTCTGGCAGTTTCGGATACGTATTTGTCCGGCCAGCTTTCTGTCCCGATTGTTTTCCTTCTATTATCTAAGTAAAAATATAAAATTACTAATTTAACTTCTAATTAAAACGACCAAGTGGCTAAGGCGGCTGAGCGTTATCTTGGTGAGAAACGACGCTGCCACTCCCTTCTTTGGATTAACAACCCGACACCGAAAGCGAGTGCTTTAGGAACCTACTTAGCAACGGACCACCACTAAGGCTTAAATCAATTTTACATAACAAGCATTACTTGAGCATTTTGCATCATAGCCGGACTAGATCCTGTACGTGAATGACTAGGTCCTTGCGGCGCAGGCGGAGACAATTCGTGAGAATTCGCTTGAACAGGACTTGCAGGATTTTTGGCACTCTCTCGTAACTTTAATGGCAATAATTGTTGTTTGGAATTTGCCGCCTGGGTAGGTGAAGTAACACTCGGTGCACTGGACACTGCCGGTTCGGCCGATGTATGATTACTACTCAACTTGTTTGCCAGTTTAAACGGTAATTTTTGTTTTATCTGAACTTTTGATGCCACCTAAACAATAGTGTTTTGTTTAAAACTATTTCTTAAACAAATAACATTGAAATAATTAATTACCTTTTGTTGATTAGTGGCACTGATGAGGTTAAGAGGTAAAGTAGAAGACGAAGTGGACGAAGGAGGCGGATGCTGCTGTTTCCATTTGACAGAGTCGGACCGTTTACTACGCACGGATTCCGAATGAGCTAACGGATGACTAGCGCCGTCGGCGGTCGATTGGTTTTGTGTTTGCTGATTCGGCGACACTGGTGGCGGTTGCATGTTGGGCGATACAATTATTCCTTGATTCGTCAAAGTCTGTAGTTTGAGGTATAACTGTTCTCGTTGTTGAGTGACGTCGGCTTGTTCGAGCCGTACTTGTTCCTTGAAACATAGTCAATAATATTGTAAATAAATATGCACATTGGGTGACAGAATATTTCCACATTTATATCAGGTTTCAAAAAAATTCAATTCGATCGTTCAAAATCTTACCTGCAATCTTTGAAGCTGCTCTTTCTTTTCTTCGAGGTCTTTCATTTCAAGATCACGTTCTCGCATCCATGTTTCTTTCTCTTGAGTCAACTTATCCTGTAGATTACGAAGTTCTTCTAACTGTTGGTTGTGTCTGTATACGGGCTTCTTATCTTTTAACCAGCTACTCGAGCCAATGGTCGAACCGCTAAGCGTTGGATCTTCGATTAAATTTTGCGATTTATAAACGGCCAATTCCGCTTGAAGACTAAAACAACATTAAATCATACGATTGAATTTTTTCCTTTTTTATATAAAAACAGGTGTTGGGTATCTGTCTACGGCTAATTACAACGATTGCAAAATAACAATTGTATTCACCTGTCGACATTTGTCATTTGTTGCGAAATAATAGAAGACAGGGTGTAAATATAGTGCGATAGCTCCATCGCAGTCGCCTGTTGTTCTTTCCCCAAGGCTAGCAATATAGGAATTTCACCAGACGATTGTATTGTAGTGGCACTATGAGACGAACTAGTACTGCAATTTTCTTTCCACGAAAGATTACTACTATCTCTCTGTACAAAAACAACAAATAATAAGTAATGACGGTAAATATAAAAAAGTAAATGTGTTCAACGTTTTTGCATTGAAGCCAATTTTAAAAAGTTTTAATACTTACAGATTTATTATCTTTACGGGCAGAATTTGGAGTACCCACTGGACTAGAATTACCCGATTCCACGTTGTTTTCATTGCCGTCAACTACTTTTGGTAATTTTCTTAAAACGTCTAAACACACAAGTTTAATTTTATTTAAAACGATCGGTTAACAACAATAATAATAATATCGAATGATTGTGCGTACTTTTAGGAGAGGACACGGAATTATCAAAACCGCCAAATGTTTCAGCTCTTTTGGGTAATGTCGGTGAAACATATGTCACACTCTGGTGTTCCCCTACCGAGCTGGCGCTGCGTGATAAATTTGTGCCAGATGCATACAGGGAACATGCCAACTCATTCACTTTCTATAATTAACAAACCGTACATTTCATTTAGTTATGACGTGCTTAAAATAATGTATGTAAAGAATTTTAATAGTTATTTTTTGTGTATATGAAAAAAATTGTAATTTCTAAAGTCATTTAAATAGTTCTACCGATATTTACAACTGTTATCCGTAATATAAATTACCTGTAACGCATTCATAACTTCTTTACGTATCTTTTCTGAGTCTTGATGTTCCGTGACCAAATGACTGTAAGATGGCGTTTCAAGTGGTAGACTTTCCACTCCGGCAGATGCCAACAATTTTAATTTCAAGCCCATTATTTCTTCGAGTATCAAAGCTTGTTCTAGATCCTTTTGTCTTAAGATTTCTACAAATATATAATTTAAAATATAAATTATAAAACGGCATAACTGAGATTAAACATAAAAACTGTAATTTTCTATAACATAGTAATCGTGTACATAGTAAGTAAAATTGTCGCTTACCGACAATTTCTCTGATATTATTTTTTTTGGTTTCCAACTGTCTTTGACGTTCTTCGAAACTCAAAGTCACATAACCGTCGTCTTCTTCTTCAGGGCATTCTTGCACGGCTAATCGAATGGAATTTATCCAAACTTGTTTGTCTTTGGGCTTGTGTACTTTGAGCTCAAACATTTCCGGTTCGGCAGGATTTGATGATATCAAGTAAATACCTTTAGTATCGGTTCCAGCTTTTTCCCGGACGAGAAGTTTTTGCAGTGACACGACTCCGGCAACTGGCTTCAATACCTGTAACAAAATAATAGTATTAACATTATCGTTAAAAAATGTTATTCTTTTCAATTTAACCTGCTACACGTTTGAACATATCTCTACTTACTTTGGTCTCTTTTTCTTTATTGCTTTCGGGCATAAAAAATGTATACTTGTGATTATTTTCCAGTATAAAAAACAACACGTCAGTCATCACAATTACATTGACCATAACCATTTGCATTTTAGAATGGCGTTGCATAAGCCAAGCTGTGCCTTCAAATCTAAAAAATATACAAATATATTAACATAAATTGCCATAAAGAAGACGCACTATGATATTTTTAAATATAGTTTGACAATTTATCACTAATAGGGTACTATTATATGGGTATTATGTAACATCATATGTGTTATAATTTATAATACATTACAACAAACGATTCGTTGTAAGAACATGTTTAATAATACAATAAAATTCTGTGTTTACCTTAGTCTCCGATTCTCAGATAGTAAATCTGATTTTTTGAACTTGCGCCCTCTAAAGTTGGTGTACGATTTCGCCTCCAATCGGTTGTATATTTCGAGTTTTCTATCTTCTTTTTCTTTTTCGGCTACTTGAGAGTCGACTTCCACCAAGATATCCTAAAAAACCAAATCAATTGAATATCAATCAAATTACTACAACAAAGATGAATCAACAACAATTATTAGCAATCAGAAAAAGTAAACCACTTTGTATAGGATTATTTATTTGACCTTAAAAATATAAGTATAAAAATAAGGGGGAAAATACATTATTGTAAGACCAATAACTTCTCAGATCCGTATCAAAGCTAAAATTTATTTCCAATAATAGTCTAATACACTCAAATTGACAATCATTACCTTAACCAAAGCTAACGCTCGAGCCAGTTTTTCACATTCCACTTTGTTTTCTTTGGAAGTCTTTATGAGTGGCTCAATCAGCAAAGGATACTTGGTCAGTCTCTGGGTTACGAACAAAACACATTCGGGAATACCTTTCTTTTTCAAAAGTGGATTAGCCTGTAAATACAATCGGATGATTATTTGTACCATTTTTATTCAAACACTACTTTTCAAATTATGCAGTTTCTTTTAAAAAATGTGCCGTAAGAAAAACACAACAACTGACCTGACAATGTTTTATAAAATTGAAAAACCCTGGATCTTTTTCCAACGTTTTGTATACATCCAATGCGTCTCTGTGCCTCGAACAGAACTCTCCGTAAGAGCTTTTTAAACGCTGAGCGTTCACGCTCGAAAACTGATCCAATAACAAATCTGCGATGGAGTCTACTACGCCGCCGTTCTCTAGAGCGGCAACTCTTTGTTTTTCTTTAAGACTCTTCAAAAACCCAAGATGTATTTCGGTTAGTTCGGCGAGCCGCGGAAACATACGATAAACTTTTTCGCCGAGTTGGAAATGTTTTTGAAGGCCGTCAACAAACACCTAAGACGTGTTATCAACAATATAAAATAGTACAATTTCGGAAAAGTAACTTATTTTTTTCCCCCCTCAAAAACTCACTTTCTGCATCACTTTTAAAGTAAGGCAGTGGTGTTTTTCGGTCAGCACGAACTCGTAAATATGTTCTTGTCGTTTGATTTCTTTGTCTTTCAACTTTTTTACAACCTGTATAAATTCAGGAATACAAATTGTCGATTAGTAGGCAAGTATCATAGTAAACTAATGTGTCCATACTTCTTTGGCCACAGTAGGAGTCCAAGAATCGGGCTGTTCCTCGTGTAAGCCCAGCGAAGGATCGGCATCTAGATCGTGGGCGGTAATGTGATCTTAAAAAAAAATGAAAAAAATTACAATTACAATTAAATTTCTACACAAGTCGAACACCGCCTAAAATGTGATCAAAATAATCACTATTAATTTGTATATCCAGTGTAATTAATTGTAGTCTAAAAGTTTAACTTAAGTTGAACTTACTTTCATTCAAAAACTCAAATTGCACCAACGACACTTCGTCTGAAAACCTATAAAAACCATTATTGATCATTGTAGTAAATACATTAATTAATTAAAACAGCAACAGCAAGAGTATATTTCTGTTTGCAAAACAGCATTGAATACATATTAAATAAAAGAGTGTTGGCTCCATTTCATTTATCATCAGTGTATTAGTGGCTAAAAATAGACATTATATGAACACTAAATTATCTGTAATGGCCAACTCTGCTCTAAAAGCTTTTAGCATTTGTTATTTATGTTTTTTTTTTTTTATAAACAACCATTTGTTTAATTTTTGTACTAATAATCTTGAGCAAATCTTGAACTATACATAAATTATTTTGCACAAATAGACCTGGGCATCAGTTAAATACATTTAGTTATTAATATACATTTTTTTTTTATACTAATGGCAACAATTATAGAAATTAATGATGCGAATACAATTTTTTTATAATACATCAAATACATTTGTACTTCAAATATGTTATAAATTACTTTAAACAATTAATTATTTTAAAAAAAAAACCGTTTTAATGATATTTAATTTAATTGAAATGGCTAAAATTATTTGATGCAATAAAAAAATGTACTTAAAATATATTATTATTTGTGATTCAAATAAAATTAACCAAGTTCTGTGCACATACAATTACAATGTCATATACTTGTCAAATAGAAATTAGGCCAGCCATCTTATATCTATACATCACCATATTTATTTAAATAAATAATTAATTATTTAAAATACATTTTTAGTTTATGTTTCAAATAATCTGCTATTTGAAATAAAAATGTATTTTACCTAATTGCTTAAACTTTCATTTAAATAACTTTTTTATTTTAATTATTTATTCCATTTTTATTAAAATAAAACATTGTTTAGAATATTCGTTAATAAATAATAAGTGTTAGTATTATTTTTTTAATAATTGAATCATATCAAAAAAAATTAAAATGCTTTATTGTTGGTTTTTACAAGTTATTTTTCTCTATATTCATTTATTATCTAACCATAGGGCCCATACAATAAATGACTTAATCTGTCTGCCTCTGCTTGTTAATAATGTTTATGAACTTTAAATGAAAACGGATTTTCAATAATTTTATAAGCAATAAAAAATCAACTTGTTACTTACGATACACCGTCTTGTGGATGATAATGAGGATCGTCTTTGTCTTCGGTATGGCTGAAACAATAATAGTAAATAAATTATTCAATGTACTTCAAAAAATAATTTTTTCACGACTGATTACAATTCATCGATATTTATATATTGCCATTATCAACTTTTGTTTTTTCTTATAATAAAAAACAACAATTTATTTTTAAAATAAGGCTTTGGCTCAATATATAATAATATAAATAATTAATTAAAACTATTTGATTATACAATCAACATGACATTAAAGTGTTATTCTAAAATATTGTCAAACATGTTTTTTATTTTTTAAATACATTACAATGATGTAATACTACAAAATTATTATTTACAAAATGTTGTATAAACACTTAAAATATTTCCAATGCTTTTGTAAATAACACTTTTGAAATATTAAATTTGGTGCAAAAACATTTAATAGCATATTTAAAAAAATACTAAAAACACAGTATTTGAAAAAAATGTTTTTTAGTGTTTATCGCAGAACTAAATTAAGTCAATTTTTTATACAGCAATAAGGTCTTATAAAATAACATTTAACTGTCGTTTGTGTAGATGAATTATTTAAATAATATAACTAAACGAGAAACTTGATTAGTTTCACTAAATTACGTGATAAAAATTAGAATTTTTTCAGAAAGTTAACATTAAATTGTTCAAAGACAATTAAACTTATTTTTCATGAACATTTTGAAATAATTTGGAATTTAAAAAAAAATTTAAACTACAAACCATCAACATTGAATTCAAAACTAATTACAAGTTAACATAACCGTCGAAATAGAACACAAATTTATGACTTTTATTAGACCTCGTTAAATTGATGTCTTCTTTTATGGATTTAACTTTCTTTAATTTGATTCCTAGTTAATAATTTCTAAACATGTATTTAAATACAAATACCAATATGTAACTGCACCATATATTTTTAGAGAGCAAACAAGTGAAATTAAAAATGTTAACATTTTGACTAATTGTCTATTGAATAAATTGTTTAAAAAAATTGTATTTAAGTACTTTAAGCTATTAAAGCAGATAGTCGTATGTTTGCTATAGTTATATAGAACATAATGATAAAAAGTATATTAGAAATAACTAAATTTTTTACCTGTTTGGAGTAGACGACTGATTTGTACTATTTTGTCTTTTACCATAAAATCTTTGTTGGAACGACGATGACGAAAATCTTAAATTACTCTGCAAAACAAAAAACAAAAAATTATATTAATCAAAAACTGTAATAAAGTAGGCATTTGTTTTTTTATCAAATCGATAATATTATAGGGATATTTTTCAATTTTTCAATTTTAATTTAAAAACACAATAAACAATATCTTGATAAATACTAACACAATTGTCTCATAAAACAATTTAAATTTTGTGTTTTAAAGTATTGTATAAAATACAGGCTTTTTAGTATTCAAAGGAAGAAACTATTATTTATAGTAATATAAAAAAAAACTCACTAATTCTTACTAGTTGGGCATAAAAATTAAATCAAGAGAGTTGGGCATTATTTGAAACAAATTTTTATCTAGATAAAAGCGGTAAATAAACAATTTGTCTTCTATTTAATAATTGGATTATTCATGACAAAATTTGTTATTATTTGTTACAAATGATTGGTTTTTTATTGTTTGTTTAAATTAAATAATTTTAATTCTGTAAGTTAAACAGAACTATAATTATAGGCTATATTATTTACATATTTAAATGTCGATTTGAACTGGCAACAACCAGTGCACTAACCTTGCCGTATTTTTGTTTGACACATTCAGAAACTTGATCTTTACATGAGTTTTGGTGAACAGTAATTAGGCAACCTAAAATAGAATTTGAAATAAAAAACAATAAATAAATATGTTATAATTATGTTTTAAACAAGTCAACATACTTTCACACGACAAAGCCGGCTTGTTTTCCAAAGGTTTTGTACACCAACCACATGTTTGATCAAAATTACTATAAGGCGGTGACGCCCAGGAGTGAAGAACTTTCTTTGATTTATCTTTTTTCTTTCTAAAAAACAAACTCCCTCTCTTTCTCCTCTTTGCATTTTGGTCCTCCGAAGTACTGAAATTGTACACAACAATTTAGTAATCAAACATAGTTTATTTACAGCCTGCAATTTGTATTTTGTGATAGTCATATTTATAGTAGAAGAAGCATAATATTATAAAAATTTACGTGCAAAATAAAAAAAAAGTAACTCACTCGGAAAACAAATTGTAGAAAGGTATATTTGTGCTATTAGTCGAAGGGGTGATATAACAACGTTTCATAGAACTATCTACATCCAAAGTCTCTTCTTCGGTCTCACTGTCTTCTGTGCCACTAGGACGACCTCTATGATGAGTCGAAGGTTTGTATTTACTTTAATAGAAATATTAAAAATAAAATAATAAAATAAACAAAAAAAAAAATTAGGCAAGCAGTTAATCCATACAGAATAATTATAATTGGAGTTATTTAACATTATTTTTTTTTTTTATATATATATAATATAAATAACAATAAATTATTTATTTTCTACTCTATTTATCTAAAATCAGCCTTTGTTCTCTTTCGAAAAAAAAAAATATATTTATATAGGTATAACATGTAATGAAGCATAAATAATATTTCCCTGGAGGCAAGTTTTGATTAAAAATATTGATGCTTCTAACAATAAGAATTTTTATCTTATGTGAAGGGTGTGATAGAACCTTAAAAGGGAGAGGTTTTTAAATACAATTTTCTTGGATTACTTCTGCAATAAAAAGTTTTAAATTTGAAATTAATTAACTTTCAGTGGCTGAAAAAAAATTGAAATATTGTTGTATAGCTTAACAAAAACTGCCTAGTAGAATAGAAGTAGCTAAATTAAAAATATTAGCTCGAAATCTTTTTTTTAAACATTTTAATATTTTTATAAATAATATCGGATAGTTTATTATTTTGTTGAAAATAAGAAAAATGGAACAATGTGAACTATTAAGCCAATTAAATATTGCTACGTTCTGTATTCAATACGTTTCTAAGCGTGTTGTCGTATACGAGTATAATATGCCGCGTGCAATGAAAATTGTATACCCTACTAAGACTATACCACTTTGTATAAAGTTGTTAATTATAACTCAATGAGTTTATATCTTACGTTGTGATACTATTGTCGTTGCTTATAACATTTTGTTTGTTTATTACGTCATGGCTGCTCATTATAGATGGTGTCGAAACAGACTTTTGTAAAGGTAGTCTAGTTTGTAGCAAACACGTTTCGCCCGCTCGTTTCGCAATTATTTTGTTGAACGCATTCTGAAATAAACAAGAGTTAATACATTAAACAAGTTAGCCATTATATGAATTAATAGTTCCATATATTTTATCAATTTACCTGATAGTCGGATTCGTTCAGCGAATGAGAGGACGAATTTCCACTAAATCTACGCTTAATGAAACCGACACTTTTACTGGGTTTCGAATGACAAAACGTCAAGTTGTTAGTAGCTAACAAATTAGCAGTACTGTCTACAAATGGATCTTCAACTTCCGACTCCATACTACTCAAACTTGCACTAAAAATGATAGAAAAGAGTTTTACGTTAATATTGTGCTCAATGTTTTATTTTAGTCATATCGATTACCTTTTTTCTCGTTTGACTATTTGCGAGTTGTGTATGTGACTTTTGGTCAAATCGTCCAACGCGGCCCAACTTCTTCTTCTTATTATTTCGCTTTCTTTATTCTCGACACAGCTTAAAACCATATTATGCCAGTCTAAAGAATTTCCTTGAAACAAAGGAAAAATTATTAATTAATACAGGTACCCAATTAGATTTGTAAACAAGTTCTCAATTCACTTACTGTTTTTAACATATCCCGATTTGTATTTACAATACGAATCAAACACCGAGGATAGATCTGTTTGGGTAGGGGTAGAATTGAGACTGGATGTATCGTTATCAGAATGACACAGAGGTTTACTCAATGAAGGGCACGATGAACTGAGAGTGCCGTTCAAACCGCAAATGTTCATTATCTACAAGACGAAACAACGAAAAATTATATAATTGACAAAAACATAATAATAAAATGCAAATATTACCTGTGTTAATCCCAACGTAGCGGAATCACGCATTTGCTGAATCGCCTCATGTATTTCATGAAGCTGCTGTATATTTTCCTCTATAGAACAAAAACAACACTATTTTAAACATTCTATTAAATACAAATAAAATAATAATAATTACGATATTCTAAAATAACATTTTCAACAAAAAACACAAATGTTTATTACCAAGCACAGGATAATTTCTGCCAGCTGTCGAATGCGGAGTAACACTGATTGCGGGAACTAGGGTACTGCTTGGCATCGTTCTGTTTATGTAATCTGGTGTATCGATACTATTTATATCATTTGTTATGGAGTTTGTCTGGAAGAAATCTGTCACTACATCTTCTTCGCTATCATCCAATTCATCTCTGTTGAAATTTTCCATTACATGTCTTAAAAATGCTTTCTTTCACTAAAAAAAAAAAATTTTAACATAAGACAATAGTTATTACTTATTAGTTGATGAAGTCATCGAACATTTGAATGCCTATAAACTTTTAAAAGAGTATTTTAATGGCTAATACAATTTTCATTGTTACCCAACACTTGTCTGGCAGTATTTGTACTAATAAAATAAAATTCTAATATTATGCTATAAATATTTTTATTAAGTAAACCAAACAAGTACACTTAAGTAAATTTAGATTTATTTTTATTTTTCTGTTACAAATAAATGTTATGTTATAACAATATCTTCCTTTAGATGATCTTTGATTTAACAAAGGTTTTGTGTACAAAATAAAGATTTTACAGGCAATCATTTCAAAACTTTTCCATTACTTTTTTTACAATTTGTAACGGGAATTTAAAATATAATTTTTTAAAGGGTTTTTAAAATTGTTTAACATTGACATTTTAATTTGGATTTAATTGCTCAATATGATTGTTGGTCATGTAATAAAAACAAAAAACATTCAAACTTTTAATTTATTAAAATAATATATTATTTATTTATTTTTTGCCAACATTTCACTTCTATTTTCAATAAAACCATCAGCATCTTATGATTTTTTAAATATTTATATTTGCCTATAAGAGAGCAATACGCTTACTAATTTTGATATAACCAAACAGGTTACACAGATGTTTTTATTTTAATTTTGAATAGTTTTAGAGTTAAATACCTCACCTCTATTATAAACTACAAGATGGCAGAACGTTAAGATAATTAATAAAAAGTACTTTTATTTATGAATGTTGAAAGTATGTCCGTCCTTGTTCCTATGGAGAATGAAAGTAATAATTGTTTGAATCTTCAAAATTGTTTTATTGTCAACCCGAAAAACATCAAATAAATTTGTACGGCAATGAAATTGAATTATAAATAGTAATTAAATAGACAAAGTTTGTTTGTGAAAAAACACTGCACATACCTTACCCTATAAATCATTTTTAGTGCAATATATTTGGAAATTAATTGAATACGAGTTAATTAAAAAATGTCATTAAAAACACTTTTCAAAATCACAAATTTAGAATCGTCAAAAACTTTTAAATACTTAGAAAAGCTGGAAGGTTAAATTCGACCAGTAACGCAATTTTGAATTGGCCTAAATTTTCTAAAAAAATTTTTTACAAAAAGAATATATTAATTTTCAATAGTTTTTTTCAGTTACTATTAGTGACAAGTGTTCAAAATTAAAAACATTTCTCTATTATAAGTCAATAATAAAGTAAAATATAAAAAATTAATACAAATAGGTTAATATTTATTATTAAAAATGCTATCATAATAATTATTATATTTAACTCTGAAGTTGTACTTAAATTACATGAGAATCACTTCAAAGCAATAATATTACACTAGTTAAACATTGTAATAAAATACAGTAATAATAATAAGCACCAAAAAACAATCACAATTTTAAAATAATATCTCATAGTTGGTTAAAATCAATGTAGAAAATAGATTCAATCGCCATACAAAATTGAATAATTATATTGTATGTACATTGTAAAAAAAATATTAACGAGTTTATATCAGTTATAAACCAGTAGGTGCCTATTGACGAAAAAAAAGTGGTGAAATGTTTTCATTAAACACTGTACTGGCATACTTGAAATATATCCAATAATAATACATTCTAGTCGTACGTTTAATTATCATTGAAACATTAAATCTGCTGCTAGTTTCATGGGTAATAATAATTATGATTGGATAATATGTAAGCAATAATAATTGCGAGTGGCAAAAAAAAACACAGAATAATATTATTCTTCTATTATCAACTGTATAATGCTATTTTATGTTATTATGAATAATTTTTAAATGCGGCCAATCAATTTTACTAGTAGACAAAAATTGAATTGCAATTATTATGGTTTTGGACATGGTGTATTTTACTCGATCCGAGAAACAACAATTCCAATTTATTATTCTAGTTGGCAAAAAAGGAATTTAGTTCAAGACCTACATTTACATAATAGGTGTGTTGGTGGATTTTCGGATGGACATAGAATTTAATCGACTAGAAAACGGCATATTATTGGAAATTATGTCTACCCAGACTTGTATTGCAGCAAAATCATTACCTGTTTCCTCGTCGAAGATATTAATCCGCATAGATAGATCGATCCGAGATATAAGCACAACACAAAAATTACGTTTCCTACTTAGTGATCGTGATGACAGACTGCCATTTTGATACTTTATGTTCAATGTACTGAACATAGCGACGAACCGTATCGTCGACAATAATATGATGGCACTACCAGTGGAATGACGTTAGTAACGTATGTTTTTACCATTTAATATCAACGATAACAGTGACTGATAACAGGTATTCATAATATTATTAACAATTATTAATTTTTTAATTCAATATTTCAATAAGATTATAATATAAATTATTAATTTTTATTTTCCCATGTCGGTTATGCATCGATACTGATTTCCGAATAGTCATTTTTATAATTTTTTGTTTTTTGAAAGTTATTCTAGATATAAACGTAAAAAAGAAAAAAAAAATAGTCGAAAATGTTTCAATTTGTAAAATGTAGTGCATTACAACTAACCAGAAACATTGTGAGTGATTGTTTAATTTCGAATCCACTATGTTCTCTAATGTAAAATTATTTTATTACATTTTCATAGAGAATACAGAGTAGAAATTTTGCCGGTAGTGCCAATGTCGAAACGCTCAAAGACGGTGAAAATATTCTGCATCAATCTTTACAAAAAAAGTTCCCTCTTGCTAAAGAAATTAAAATTAAAGACATCTCAGGTAATATAATTTTTAGTAGAAGGTTTGGTTCGAATCTACTTCTTGGTTTTTTTTTGCAAAATATTATGCTATGAACTAATCTAACCGGTTTTTCTTAGAATCATAACACTTCCCAGAATGTTTTTTTAGCACATAATCATTATGCAATAAGTGTGGAAACCTATCAAACCTATTGATAAAAAATTGCTTTCAATATTATAAAAAATATTTAATTAATAATGTATTATTGTGTATTTTATTAAGTTTTTTTTTTAATTTTTTGTTATTTATACTGAAAGTATATTAATCTTTGATTTAATTATTAAAAATTAGTATACAATTCTATGTAGGTAATAATTATATTATTCTACATGTTTCATAATTTGTATAGGAGGGTGTGGTGCCATATTTGAAGTATTTATTTCATCGTCAGAATTTAAAGGAATGAATATTGTAAAGCAGCACCAACTTATAACTGAAGTATGTATTTTAGGTTATTATTATATTTTCTTAAATAAATTAAAATTGGTTTTAGGTTTTAAAAAACGAAATAAAGTCCATGCATGGAATAAGAATACATACAGAAATTCCTAACGAGTGAAAAAAACATTTAAAAATTATTGTACAAATAATTGTTAAATAAAATAAATATCTAGACAATTTTAATTTGAAGATTATATAATGTCTAAAAATGGTTTGTTTTTTACATTTTTCATTTATAGTGTAATATAGTTGTTTTTCGTTTTCCAAAATAAATTGAAGTGCTTATGTATATTTGATTCAAGTGAAGCCGATACAAATTTACATTCATTGAATATCTTTGTACTTTGTGTCACATAATATATTATTGTGTGTATGTTGTATTTGTTCTTATTTTGTCTATTACAACTCATGCTTCTCAAGAATGGTTTTTACTTTTTTCTGTCAATTACTTAAAACAATAAATACGAGTTCAGGAAATAATCCCATATTTATGGTGAAAAAAAATCAGCTCGAACCGTTAACTGATCGGTAAAAGTCTTCTCAATAGTAAAGTGTTGATACTTATTTATTTTAATTTTTATTAAAAATTGGTCTGAAAGTTAAACTAAATATAGGTGTAGGAATATACATATCTACGATACATAAGATCATACTTAACTTAAAATACATACAAACAATTTTAAAATGGAAACAAACTTGGTCATCATTAAAAAAATTACCAGATAATAAATATAATTTAAATCAATTTTAACTATAAGTAGATTTGCATTTAAATAAAAATGGAAATAATAGTCTGAATGAAAAAATGATTTAAATGAATTTAAAAATAAATCTATTTTGGTAGCTGCCTTTGGCTTTGTTTAGTATTTAATTTTTTAAATAGTATAATTGTTATCCTTATCAGTCGATAAGGATTTTCCCTATTAGTGTTTACTCTCACAGTGTAGATTTTAGCGTTTCTATTTATAATACCATTACATAATATTATCATAGGCCATACCTATCATTGTTTCTGTCGTCAAATAATGACGTAATAATACTATGGTATCGAGTAGTTTATAAGAATCCTTTATCCAATAATAATATGTTTTAAGCCTTTATGTCGTTCGTTTGTCTCAGTTAGGTACCAAATAATACTAGTACAGTATTATCACAATTGCATAATTTTCAAACGTATGTACCCAATTCTATGAATATTATTTAGAAATTTACTATTTTTGTGTTTACCTACATGCACTTTACATAATAATATCTATAACTAGTCATTAGTTAAAATGTAAATACAAATTTTTTTTTTTTTTTGGTTTGTGTACAGAACAACAACAAACGGATGCTTGAAACACACAATGCTGACGTTAATTGAATCATAATAATCAAATAAAAATAGTATGATATTTATTAGCATTAGCTGAATTATCAGATTCGTCATTGCCCCTCTTAACTTAACCTACTTGACCACTAAAGTAATTCATAATGACAATCTAAGGTACTACCTAATGTAATTAAATAGTGCGTCCGGTAAATTGGCAAAGAAAATCGAAATACAATATTAGCCAATTGAATTTTTAATGTCTCTCGAAATAAAAGGGAAAATCTGAAATTAAAAAAAACAAAATAATATGTAACTATAATAATAATATCACAGCTTAGTGTAGACATCCGGTTTCGTTCGGTCTATGTTCCAAATAAATTGGACCATACAAACGGCAATGGCGTCACTTGAATTTTTTTTTTTCCTAAATGGGACAAAAAATGTTGAGTGCTGACGAAAATACTAAGAAGCACTACTATATTATGACTATTTATAAAAAAGGGTTAAATATTACACGGCCAATACAATTTGACGTAAACCCGATTTTAATCGAGGCAATTAATTAGTTTAAAATAACATTGTTAAGCGAGCCGCCAATTCATAATAGTATCTTAGCAGAAGGTAAACCACATATTTTTATTAGAAGAAAATAATCAATTGTAATCAGATTTCATAAATGTCAACTGTTTTTCAGGTTAATCTTGATATTGGCTTTAAAATACAGTTTTCCCTGTATTGAATTTTAAATACGTAGCTGTTATGTAACACTTTTAAACTAAAAACAATCAATTAATTTACAAAATAAATAGATTTGTCTTACATAATTTCGACTACTATTAAAATGGCCGATTTCAACGTTAAAAATACCAGTCTGTTGACTTTTATTAACAAGTCATTATTTTTTTTTGGGGGGAAGATTAAAATTAAAATACTAATTCAAATATTTGCAGTCAAACAAAATTATTTAAACGATTTTGTTCAATATTAAAACGTACTTTTTCGGTTTCAATCGCAGCTTAATAACCATAATCGAATTAACATTTAAAACTGGTTATTTATTGACATATTAGTCTTAAAAATAATTAAATAGGAATTGATGAAGTATTACATACGTTAACATTTAAGTGTCAAAGGTCAATAGTGCTCTAAATAATACTAAATACATAAGTAGGTATTTAGAAAATGTTTTATGGAAACTTTTTCTTTATTCCGCTTTTTTAGGTGTAGTTCTTAACATTGTACAGTTTGTATACATAATTTTGTTAGACAACACAAACAAAAATGTTTTAAACGACTAAAACTGCGAATTTGCAATTATTTTCCGATATAACGAGTGAATCACTTTTTAGAGTTGACCACAGTGCCTGTATTTGCGCGTGTTTAAAGTAGGTACCTTAGTTATAAACTATGATTAATTATTAAAATATATATGTATGGCAAAAATAAATCTACAAGTAAAGAAAACCCCAAGTTTGAGTGTGACACTGTTCACTAGATCATTATTATTTTTTAAAGGGATCTAGTACTGAGATACTGTAATAATGAAGTACCGGATTTTCTAGTAGTAGTAGTACCCAATAAAAAAGCGTTTTCGACCAATTGTTTTAAAAATCGAATGTCTATGTACATTTTATTATACCTTAAAGTTCAAAGTTCAAATACTACTTTCAGTAGATTAATATATTACGTAATATATACTACATACAAATATCTTATACCCAAGTCCCACTTTATTTGCGTCTAAGAGTATATGGATTGTTTAAATTTAATGCGGTGTTAACAGAAATCCTTAGAATATATCCTGGACAAGAGGCACTTTTGTCCAATGGGCTGAATTAATATTTTTTAATCATTTCTATACCCGATCGAAAATGAATTATTAAATTATGATAGTGTAAGTTGTAAGGAAACATTGTATGAGAATGAATTTAGTGAACTACAATAACTGTATGCTTATGTGAAGCATACTAAAGGTACTAAAATCTAGCAGTATACTTGAAATACATATGGCTGTATATATTTATACTAATGCTATAGCGACACAATTTAAAACTACAATTATAATTAATAAAAACGATCACTAGATCTCATTACATAATATCTACCTCCACGTGTATGATCGATTACGCTAAAAAGGGAGTCCATAGATCAAGTTTGACGAGGGGAGGTCTGCCGATTAATTTTATTATGAAGAGAGCTTAAGAATCTCTCCTAAATGTCCAACTGTCTGACTACTTGGCATCTAGTTAATTAATGATTTTTGGCGGGACCATTAACGATATTCTAATGTCAGTTTGTTGAACTACATAATCGGTTGCAAATGACCTCTAGAATCGTCTGACCACCTAGTTTTGATAATTTTGTTTCTGAGATTCTTTATTTTTTAGGATTCGAATTTATGTAGATTATCAAAAGCTATTGGGGGAGGGGTGAGAGCGCTATATTCGACACCTCTTTCCATCTTGAATGATAAATAATAAGAATTACAAGTTATAATTGCAAAGTCAGGAATCGAACAACAGTATGAGCATCGATTATTGTAATTTCGAATACCTATTAAAAACAAACATACAATAATTTTTTTTTTTATTTTAAGAGGCTTCAACATCTGAGGTTATTAGCCTTGTGTACATGTTTTGTGTAAGTTACGTTAATAATTAAATATCAAAGGTTACAATATTTTTTTTAAATAAGAGTAATGAAATACAAAAGTGTTGGTTAGAGATTGTTTACAATGTTAATTTTTGTAAGGAAATTTAACATTTTTATGGTGTTGTCTTCATGTAGAGCTTCTTCTAAGTTTTTGGGTATTGATAGAATACTTCGGATGTTTTGTAAGTCTGGGCAGTCTAGGATGATGTGTTGGATGGTTAGGTCTTCTTGGCCTTTATTACATATGGGTGGTGGATCTTTGCTGATTAAGAAAGAATGTGTCAAAAAGGAATGTCCGATTCTCACTCGGGTTAGAGTGACTTCTTGTCGTCTGTTTAAATTGTGAAGATGATGCCACTTTTTAGTGCATCTTTTGATTTTTTTTAATTTGTTGGAAGGCGGAACGGAATCCCAGTAACTTTATACAATAATTATTAATTAGAATTTTTTGCAATCTGAATTTAGTGAAATGCAAATGTTGTTATCAGATAACCGTTATCTATGCTTGTGAATAACAACTGATAACAAATATCAGCAACAAGTGCCGAACGGTTTTTAAATATAAAATCGTACCACTGAGATGATTTATATTGTATTTAAAAAAAAATTAGTTTTGTTTCATTGATCGTTTTTTCGTTTAATCGCAGAGAAATTTAAATGTGTATTATTATAAAATTTTATTTGAACATCGAAGCAAAAATAAAATTATACATTTTTTTTTAAATTCAAACTATTGTTTCAAAAAATGAATTTAAAAAAATTACTTGTATTAGAATAACCTAAGCTGTGTGACAAAGCCATGAGTTTTTCGATGTTTGTTTAATTATTTAATTTAGACATTAGGATACGTTCATTTTTTTATTTACCATGGACTGTGAACTTGAAATACCAGAATCCTACAAGAAAATAAAAACTGTTGCAATAAGAAGCATAGGTATGTGGCTCGCTTTAAAAACAATTACAAATAAACAGTTAAAAAATTTGTTTACTCATAATTTATCACACCTACCTATGTATTAATTTTGTTTTTTAGGAACTAGCAGCGACACAGTGATTTGTACAAACGAGAAAACAATTTTAGCATTTTATAATGGTTGTTTAGTTAAAAGCTGTAATGTAAATATCGAAGCCAACTGTATGGAACCTTTTATTATATATGGTCCGAAAAATGAATATTATTATATTTTATACGGAGAAAACAAAGTTGTTGTTGTTAAAGAAGAATCAAATCTTAAGGTATCAATATGTTATTCAACCGTATTTTGAGTATAATATTTTATAGTCATCAATGCCGAGTTTATAAAATTATCACTAATGAACAACAACTAGTTGATGCAAGAAAATTAATTAAATTTTATGTTGGATGATGGGTTGTAAAAAAAAACTGATATGGTGTTTATAGTCTAAAAGGATGTAATTATTTTACTTTGGTGTGCTTAATATGTACTTTTTAGGTTGTTAAGACTTACGATAATATTTGCCAAATGGTTGTCTGTGATAATATGCAAACCGGCGTACCTCAATTATATTTAAAATCCAATATAGAATTTGAATGTGTAGACTTCAGGGAAAATGATTATGATCTCAACACAGATAATACAAATCAAGAAGTTTCAATCCTGTACACATTTTGTGTAAATAAATTACAGGTAATAAATTACAGGATTATAAATTGATAGAATCAGAGATATTATATGTCTTAAAGTATATGTAATATCTTGTTTACTATTTTCTGGTTTTCAGAAATTACAACTTTACTCCGATAACGAGAGAAAAAAATTAACTCAAAAAATCAATTCATTTAATAAAGTGTTAAGAGAAGTTTCAAACGAAAACAGTTCACTAGAAAATTTAAACGATAAAATCGATTTTTCCTCTACTGTCATTTCAAAGTATCCGTGGACAAAATTAAACAATGAACAATTGATGTGTGGATTTACCTTACAAAATAAATCAAAATTGTATATCAGTAATTTTGCTTGTTTTTAAAATTTGTAGTTTTTTAAAACTTTTTTTTTAACAGTTTTATGTTGTTTGTTTATTTAGGAATTTGCCGATTATTAATTTATTGTTATTAAAAGATAATGAAATAGTTTGGCCAAAATTTTGGTACAAATTTTGGGAAATTAAGTCTACAAAAACCAGTATAGATTTTCACAGCGAATATCAAAATAATTGTCCAATGAATAATATTGTCAAAAGTTGTTTGAATGTAGGCCCAGAACGTTCCGTCATTGTCACTTGTGAGTACGTAAATTATTTATCAATTTTGCAATAATAATTTAATTTTTGTTTTGTGTTTTCTAGGTTCTATCAATAATTGGAGTAACGAACAATTACCTTATCATATTCACGCAAGAGCGTACATTTATAATATTAATAACGAACTTGGTACGTATACATTTGAATGAGTTTGTATTTTATGAGTAAACATTTGGTTTCATTTTGGTTTAGTCCCAGTCATGAGTACAATCAAATAACTTTCAATTGTCAAAGAAAGATAATTTTTTTTTTCAATGTTTTCCAATTGTAATTTTGAATGTTAAGTTTTTTTTAGGCTGACAATAAATAATATTGAGTACCTATACTTCTTGAATTTTAATTGACCTGTAGATGTACTCATATGTAGGTACCGCTTCTAAAAAAATATATATTAGGATGATATTCACTCAAATCAAATTTTTTTACTCTTTAGTTTTAAGGGGTAGCTTTTGAATAATTATAATAGTAATTAACCCTTCAATGCGCCATGTTGCTTATTTGCAACAATCTTTTTTTCCTTTTTCTTTATTTAATTTGTTATTTTTCATCTTACTAGTGCTAACTAGCGGATAAATCGAGAAGTTTTTGATATTAAAAAAAATGTCAGATCAGCTGATAGTTCCGTTATCAGCCGCTGCTGTTATTTAAAAATGAGTAAGACCTAATTAATATTTTTCCCGGTTTCTCTTAATTTAAAAGTTTTATAAGTTTATTAATATTTGCATATTTAATAAAAAAAAAAATTGTTTTGGTTTGTAATAAATAAATTAGACTTGTAATATAAAAGAAACAATAAAGGTTGATTGTTTTATCGAATATAGTGACATTTTTATGCACAATTTGCAATAGGCAATAATCTGAAAATTGTTAATTTTCCAGGAAAATATTGGAGTAAAATTTTTTAAGTATTTTTTTCGTAATCTACGACGCAAAATACACAGGGAACATTTTTTTTTTTTTTAATTGAAAAATTCGCGCATTGAAGGGTTAATACCAACAACATATTGTGTTAATTGTTTATAAAAACGAAAAAAAAAAATTGGACCCAATGAAAATAATGACAATCAGTATACATTTAAATGTAGTAGCTTGGGAAATGTAGAATGTATTATTATGTTTGACTTTTGAATTATCTTGTCTTATTTTTTTTATAATATAATATATATTACATTATGTGACTACTGTTGAGATATAATTACAAGTAGCTATTTTTTTTTCAGAAACTCAGTATATAAATATTGAAAAATTTAATATTACTTCAAAATTATTTTTGAGTAAGGAATTTGATATATTCGTCAACAATAGTATTCTCGGTAAGTGTGTTTATTTTTTTAATACAACATAATTATTATAGACCTAATCAGTATAGTCGTTACCAATAATGTTTGACAATAATTATAATTCTATTCGTCGAGGGACAAAATATAGGGGATATTTGATAGTTAACAACACTGTTTTCGAACAAAACAAATACATTTTTTCTAGCTTGTCAGTTTGTGCAAGTTCAAAATTTTCCAAATAATTCCCTATACCATCTAAATTGTTCAAAACAAGCTAAAAATATCGATTTAAATAACTAGTCGTGCTAGAGAAAATCTGGTGCCAAATTCTATTAGAAAATCCAAGAAAATATATGTATTTTGGGTCTTGTTCCTTAAAATGGTAAAATTTCGTCATACAGTTTGCTATCTTCTAGGTGGAGGCTTAATTTAAAAAATTCATCATAAGCTTTAATACTTTTACTTATTCATTTATAGTTATTTCTAATAAATCTAACTAATTTTCTAACAGCTAAATCAAAAATCGGCGTTTTAGCCCCCATATAGATAAACTAGTGAGTTTTACATGAAAAAAATCGAATGAAATCCGTCCAATAGATACGCCAAAATAGAAAATTACCTCTACAAAAGTTATTTGAAGTTAACTCGATATTAGTCGGCGTATTGATAAGGTTTTGTCAAATATTGCCTATCTTTTGCCCCTTAATAAATAGCCCATTCCGGTGCCAGTATATTCGTCGAATGTCGGGTGTTTAAATTATGGTTGTAATATTTTTTTTTATTATCGTTTCACAGTGGAGGACATAATCTGCATGTATTGTACCAAATCGTCATGTTGCTACGAAATCGCGTGCCTATTGAATGCAAAAGATTTCGCCGGCATACTAATCGACGATTTCAAATTTGTCGAGAACAATAAATGGTTTTACCGAAGTGTTTTACCTTGTTTCAAGTCGTTAGTGTGCAATTTACATTGCGTTTCGCATTCGCAATACGAGTTGAAATTATTTTCCGAGTGAGTTGTTTTTTCTAGACGCGCGCGGTTGGCAACAATGGGAACGGTGTGGTAGAGAATTTTGTTGGTTTTTCCTTTTATTTTTGTTCTTCCACTTTAGATCTTCAGTAAACGCAAGTGTGTTCATTCAACTGTTGTCGCAGAAATTACCCGAACACACGGACATCAGCAAGTCGGACGACCAGGCTTGTTATAGTTTTGACGCTGACAATGTATTGGTAGACCTGAGACAACTGAGAAGCGTACTCAAAGACCATGTAAACGAGGACGGCACGATTATTATTCCTAGGGACAAGTGGAACTGCACGCGGTCCAAACTGGTAAGATTCACTTGAGATTTATTTTATACAAAATAATATTAAATAAAACTAATGTGTGTCTATTTTACCGCCTCGGTCGCCGTGGATGGACAGTACTTAAGAATGGTTTCACTTGTCGGGCACACCTTTGTTTGTTAGAATCGATTTTCTGACATGTTATTCTTACACATTTTTGGTGTGTTGCAATAAATTCAGATTTTCCTTTTGAAAAACATTCGCATTCGAATAATATAAAATAAACCAGTTAACTATAATACTGTTCTGTTAGGTTGTATTAAACGTCTTGTGCCATAAAAAAAGTATATTAAATGTAAAATTATATAAAACAAAAAACGCAGCATTATAATATATTTGTCGGTGTTAAACATAATAATAATATAGAAAAAATGTATAAATCGTATATAGAAATAATACATATAACATAATTAAATACTTAAAAATAAAACAAAAATATACTTAAAATTGGTCTTCTTTTTAAATGTTATTGCTTATTAAACAGTTCTATTGCAATTATCAGTAGGCAATACAAATTGTTTCATGCATTGCATAGGCAATTTAATTGAATTCAAATAGTTACATTAAACGAGTTTCTTAAAAGCCAAAAAAAATTCTACAATTTACATAATATTACTTATAATCAAATAACAACTAAACAAAATAAATTTAACTTTATTTGTGTCAAGGGTTTATTAACACATTTTTTTGGAATTATTAATTAAACAATTATTATAGGTAATAATAATTTTATATTCATATAATTTTAAACCTAGGTTATATTATAAATAGTACCTAATCAGTCATTTTTTTTTTAGTATTTATTTACAAAAATACACAAAATTCAAACAATAAACATTATTTGTTTTTAATCTGAACAAATTAATTAAATATTTTATTAAAACATAAAACTACATTACCTATTAGATCGTTTACACTTATTCGGTTACACTATTGACATAACATTTTAAATAAATCTACTAACCTTTTCAATTTAAAATATATTATCTTATACAGTTTTGTCGGTGATTAATTGAGCGTTAAAACGTATTGAATAACCTGTTTTATAACTATAAAAATTTAACATTTGTAAATTGTTTTACTACCAGTGACTCGTTTTTGTTCTAGACTTTGTACAAATTGCCATCGAATGGTACCTATTGGATAAATATAGAAAATTTACTATTTTAATAAATTCAATTGAGAATGTTTTCTTCACGTTTTGTAAAAAGTGAAACATTTTTTCTAAAACGGATTGTTACCAACTGTGTAAGAAATTAAAAAATTGTTCAAGGAAAATACAAAAAACAGGAGGGTGGCTAATCCCCAAGTGAAAAAAGTGTCCCGAATATAGATTAGTTACACAAAAATATATATTATAGTGAATAATATTATTTTATTCAGAGATTGAAAGCGTTACCAAATTTACATTTGTTACAATCGTTTTGATCCTGTTGATATTTAGTAAGTTTTTCAATCCCCGGTATTATTTATATTTGTACTAATAATCTATGCCCATCTATGTAAGCTAACGATCGTCTAACATTGCACTGAATCCAGCCTAAAATGAAAATCAATTTTCACCATATTTTATTATGTACATTTTAATAATTACATAAAATTTACAAGTTATATTTTTTTTCTAAACTGTCGAGTCTAAGAGAGCCGATACTATAACTTAAATATTTTTTTGACAACCGAACGTTAAAGTTTTAGTTTTTCACAAGAGTGCAACGATAGAGTTTGGTGGCTATTAGTGTAATATTAATAACAAAGAAATTAGTTTAGAAAAAGTGGCCAAAAACCGAGATCGGCTCTTTTAGACTCAAGTCGCGTTTTCATAGTATTGTATTTATTTACCAAAACACAAAGTAAAACTATTATGGTTGTCGTTGTGTGTTTGTTAAGTAGCAATCAGTTTGAAGGTTCTTATACCTTATAGCTGGTATCTAAATTGTCTAATAACATCTTCGAATAATGTAGGTAAACAAATTTTCATCGAAAGAAGTAAATAGAGCTAATGCCAACGATTTTCGTTTTATGTATAAATTATTATAAAACACACTTTGCAATGGTTATTATAATGCTAAACAGTTAAATAAGGCACATTACTTTCTAACGAATACAGAAATTGCTTACAAAATGTTCTGCGTTAAAAGTACTTAGTATTATTGGCTTTATTCAAACTCAAAATAACTGAACTGAATACTGATCATGTTTTTTTAAAATAATAATAATATTATTAATCTAATTTTTGGTATTCTTATTAACTAAACAAAATTCTTTGGGTACTCTGTCTTGATAAATAAGAGAGCGGTCAACTGATATGACAGCTACCATAATATTATAACTCATACAAAAAAATCGGATGTCTTAAGGGCTAAGTGGGTGGATTCGACGGTATATTATATTTTGCATTGCCTATATTGTCGATGATAAAAATACCGTAAAATAAATAACTGTAAAACGGGTTGCCTGTTTTATGTTATCGCAGCTATACAATTATACATAATACGTTAATTATTTTATGTTACTATTACAACTAAATATTAGTTTATACTAGTATATGAAATATTTTTTTAATTTTCTCTATTTGTCGTGTAAAATACCATGTGGAAATAACAAAATATTTCGATTTTCGTTGGCGGTCACACTGTCAAACGTCTACCTTTTGCGCACCAATCTCCAGGCGAAACGACCGCTCTGTGGTCTCAATCCATAGACAAACGCGAGGGGTACAAGTGCAGCGAGTTGGCCGCTTTTGATTGGTTACTGACTTGCGCATACAGTGTTACCAATCGCAGTAATTGCGATCCGAACGCGTTTTGAAGAATTTGAAATCGGTGTCTATGCTCTCGGCGCCAGACTCGTCGGTGTCCAGCCCGGGCGCGAGCACTTTGCCGCCGAACGACTCGCCCGACTCGGTGCTCAGGTAACCGGAATCCTCGTACTTGTGCAAGTCGGTCGGCAGCACACCCTTCGCCGGTCGTTTGTCAGAAGCACCAGCCGCGTGGCCGTCGGTTCGCCTGGTGTTGGGCGGGCGCGCGCAGCATTCCGGCCGCTCGCCGCTGGCCCCGCTGTGCTCGCTAGTGCTTCTGACGTACGCGTTTTTTGAAAGTTTTCGCACGGGCTCGGGCGACGGACACCGTTGCCGCCGGCGGTGTTTGAGGTCGGGCTTCAGGTAACTGGCGTCCGCCGGCTGCCGGACGACCATGTTCCACCTCCTCTGCACGTCGGCAATGGCGTTTTTCGCCTCGTAAATCTCCAGCAGACTGTTGAGTCCGTTTTTGGCAGCATGTTTCGTCGGCTCGCCCTCCAACGAGTCCGTCGAGTAAACGGCCGCCGCCGACGGTTTGGCGCGGTGCGGCTGCTGCTGTGTTTTGTTGCAGTGCCGGTCCAACGTGTCCGGTTCGAAACCGTCCGAATCGTCGACGGCCGGATGGTAGTCCGCGCAGTCCTCCACCTCGATCGTTATGCGGCCCGGGCTGTTCGTCTTGATGTTCTTGTCCAAAGTGTTGCACGGCGACAGGCTCGTGTGGAAACCGTCGTTGACGTACACTTCGCTCACCAGACTGTACCGCTCGGCGGACCTGTTGAGTATGTCCGGCAGAATTTCCTTTTTGGGTTTTTCCCGTACGCAGTCCGGCCCGGATATGTGATCGTAATAGCTTTCTTTTTTCGTCACCGTGTCGTAAGTGTACGTGGTCTTCACCGTGAGCTCCTCTTCCAGCGGCAACGCCGAGTTGCTCAGAACTGGACTCGATTCCCGCCCGGCCGTTCCGTATTCGGACGGCGTGCGGTATCCACAGTTTCGCCTATAACTCATCGACCTTTCCAGACTGTCACATTCGATGTTTGCGTTCGTCTCTTCTTCGACATCGTCGTCGTCTTCTTCGATTTTACCATTATGTTTGTCAATACCAGTAAGAATCAGATGGTTGTTGTCTAAGGTTTCGATGTGGTTGCAGCAATCTTTCGATACTACCGCCACGGGGGGAGCGCGGGGGGCTTTGGTTTTTTTCTGTTTGGTAACTTCTATTGGCGGCACGTCCATCAACCATTTGTGTATCGTCGCCGATTTGACCACAGACTGGTTCTTGCATTTATTGCAACAGCTCGGCGGTTCCGCCGGTTCTTCGTCCGTGTCTTCCGGTATGACGACTAGATTGGGCGCAAACCTTTTCATGCCTATCTTCCGTTTGGCTTCGCGGATCACTTCCCGGATTTTGTCCAAAAACTCCAACGCTGCCGGGGGCGGTGCCTGAAAATCGAACGGCATGTACGCTTTGTTAGCTGTTTGTTCCCCGACCCGGAATTTAAAAATGCTGTGCTTACCATTAACAACTCGAGCTCGAAGTAATCCGGATTGAAGTAGAGTTTTTTCCGCGGATTAGCGCAAACGATGGACCTGATGTTGTCCGGACGTTCCTCCTTGTTTTCCAACGTCTCCACAATGGACACGTCCTCTTCCGGGTGTTTTTCTATAGAATTCGAATCCGAGTAGTACATCGAATGACCCATACACGCCGCATGCGATTGAATAGGGTGTACGATAGCCGTGGTCAGGTTTCGCTGTAAGTAAAAATAACCATTATTTCGAGTACATCTAGTCGAAGAACTGTACAAAAAGTTGTGTTTTTACAGTTATTTAATAACTTATATATAAGTTTCCCCCTATCCGTATCGTCGGCGTTGTTAATATGTATGGTTTTCATGACTCACATTATTGTTACTCCGGTCGATCATATCCAAAGTACTGGATTCGTCTTGAGAACTCCTGTTGAAGTCGTCGTCCGACTCGAAAGCTTCGTTGTCGTTGTAACCGTTGTGTTGCAGTAGAGGGTTGTTTTTCACTATACCTTCTTCGGTCATGCCGTTGGTCATCAATGGATTTTTAAACGCCTCTATATCCCTGTGCCGTCCTTTGGGCCGTTTTTTTCGCATGTGCAAGTACAACATTATGGACGCCACGTACATGAGCCCCAACAGAATGGAACATATGGCCACAGCTATCATTTCGCTTATGGTCAGCCCCGGACTAGGAGTATTTTCTGTCGACCTGGTGTCAGTGGAAAACAACACTTCCTTGACGCCTGTCGATAATTTATAAGATAAAAAAAAAATAACAGATGAGAATAGGAGAAAGGTTTTCAAAAAGAAGGGTTTTACTTGGTGTCCCAGCTATGCGAAACGAAATGCAAGGCGTCACGGTTTGTTGAAAACTGTCATCGTAATCTTGTTGTTGAACCGTTTCTTTGCAAATCATTTCTATCAACACCAAACGGCCTTCGACGTTCGTTCTTAAATGTAAGTCGCCCGACCACTGTAAACAATAATTGTACACGTGCAAGTTTTTAAATCTCTACTTTAAAACATTACCTAGAAGCATAATGTTATATTTACTATTATTGTTGTACAAGATCGTCTCAAGAAGGAAGCTCAATAACTCTAAAAATGGTGTTAACATTGCCCATAGACTAGGGCATTATATTTAAGAAAATTGTATTTTTATTTGAACGAATTCAACTAACAAGTAGAAATGGTACCTGAATGAACCAACAGTTCCCCTCCTTGGTTCTGTTTTAAGTAAAAATTAGAAGCTACCATTAGTTCCAAACTTGTGGGAAGAGATATTCTTTATATGTCTATACACATTTGAATTTTGATTGAAATAAATAATTAATTGAACATTGCCCAAGCTTGTATTGGGTGATTGATTTTTTTTTTGTAAATGAACATTAGTTTTGTTTGTATGAAAAATTGATTTTTCATTTATTTCTTTAACTGTTTGAAAATGATTGTCTTTTCGTGTAAAAACTGTCAAGTGCCAAAATAGTGTGTACCAACAGACTACAATTCGCCTGAATGGCATTCACATGACCACAAGTTACAGCGCTAATTACTAGGTCTTACCACAAGCATTATGTGTCCGTTTTCACGGTGTATTTGAAAAGGAGTTTCAAAATCCGTTTGGTTTTTGAAATTAACCCAACCGCTTCTTGATAAAAATTTCGCTCTTGAAATAGCACAGACGGGATATTGCATACCTATAAATGTATTTAATATAGTCAAACAAAGTACAAGTTCATTTTAGTGTATCAATATGAGTGAATGTTATTTTTAAAAGAATGATAGGCAAATAATACACAATCGTCCATAATACATGAATTATTATGAATTATATTATAATGACAAGTAAGTTACTGTTTAAGAAGCGTTTTCACGTTAAAAAAAAAATAAACGTTTATTGTCAGCTCTAGTAAACAATCTTCTTTAAAATTTAATTTGAGTTTTGTGTTAAGAATTCGAACGGGTAAATGTATTTATTTAAGCAAAATTAACTTACCTGCGACTTTAATTTCTGCACTTGGATACACGATTTGCCCTTGTAGAGGTAAAAATACATATGGTATTTTTTGTACTGTTGTACCAGACACAAAAGACGCTATTGAACATTCTGGAAATAAATAATAAAAAAAAAAAAAAACTATTTTATAAATTTTATTTGATAATAAATAACACTATCATCAGGTCGTTAAAATGTCTCAATTAAATTAATTTAAAATAAATTCTGAGAATTGGATAAAAAAAAATACCTTCTCAGCTCGCATCAAAGCCGTTACGCCAAAATATTACATTAAAATATTTGCATAACTGGAATACATTAAAATAAGAGTATTAGCCTCCGAAAACCATCGATAAGCCCTAATCAGTTATTCGCAACGGCTCCTTTAAACGGGTTGTGTCCAATTTCACATTTCTTTATTTTTTAGGTCACACTTACTAAGACAATTTTCAAAAATTAACTTTTTTATAATTCTAGTTTAAAGTCGTTTTAGGGCTTTAGTTTAATTTTATTTAATTGACCTTTCAGACTGGCTAGACGAACGGCGGAGATAAATTGTCGGACGTTATATTCTAAAATATAAAGTACAAGTATTTAAATTTTCATAAGTCATACATTTTTAAGATATCAGATGAGTTAGCAAATCACCCTGTAATATGTATGTATGACGTGTGACTTATGTTTTAGTTAATTTATTATTTTGTACACTAAGTGGTCAAGAACGTTTTTTTCGCGAAATCTAATACTTTAATATATTAGGTCAAAAACTATTTTGCCCGCTGATTTTAAGTAGAACGTCCATGCGATAATTGAAAAATAATGTATACATTTTAGATCTAATACTTTTGTAATAAAGTTGTATAATCCTAAATGTTTTCATAATATAGTCAACATTTTCTAGACACATTTTTTAGTCTCAAAAATTTGCAAATGTTAGTAAAAATGAGACTTACAAAATCTGGATAAAAAAAAAAACCGATAACTTTTAATTCTAAATCTTTATCTCTTTTATTATATTTAGTTTCTTATTAGTTAGTATAATAATCCGAATTTGTGTGGTTCGAATTTTTAAAGAAAAGTTTTGGCTTTCTTGAGCTGTCTTGAAAAATGGGCGCTGTACTTCATAGGTCGAAAAAATACTTTTCGAAATTGTCAATGTTTTTAAATTTTGTGATCAAAATTATAATTTTAATTAGCATTATTATTAGACTGCATTAAAAAATAAGTACATGCGGTTGTACATTGAATAGGATTTTTTTTTTATAATATCATAGTTACAATAGTTCAATATTTACACCAAATAAACAACCAATGAGTTTTTATTTCGCTGTTAATAAAACAAATGTATTGTTAGATTTTTCGATTAAAAAATAAGTCAGAGCTGTCGGAGCATGTTTATGTGATTTTTAAATTATATGGATTTATTTCTATTACAAAAATCGTTTAATATTTTATCCAGTGATCAGTTTTTTTTTCGGTTAGTCCTCTATCAATAGTCTTTGCACCTGTTTTTTTTTTTAAGTATTTCCCCCCCCAAAAACTATCGGACCATGAAGTAGTTGGGTATAAATCCTCGCATCGTATAGTAAACAAGCTAATAAAATGAATATAAAAGATTTAAACGCATACGTTAATTGATTTTGTTCATAAACGTGAATACATTTTTTTTTTTTACTGTTAAAAAAAATATGTTTTCTTCTGTTGACCGTCTTTCTACAGACTGTCCTACGGTATGGATATAATAATATTATATATAAGTAAAAACACATAAAACGGCGGTATCTTAATATTATGCGCATACAATATTATTGAGATGTCAACCACGCGGTCGTTCGCTCCTGTCCGCCATTGGAGGGTTTTTCCATATACCGATTTATGAATAGGCTTAATAGATGATCTTTAAACGCAAAAACCGACCTTCCGTCATGGCCAAGCGGTGTTATTATTATCATTAATCTAAGCCGCGTGTGCCCGGCGAATACCGGATGAGCAATTACACCAAGTTTGCATTCCGTTCAAATCACACCTGTTGCGACTTGGAAATGATAACGTTTTAGCATAATAATGATGATTCTCTTTTTGAAAAATGCACTCGCGTAGTACAGTCTAACTGCTTATTAGGTCGACTGCAAACAAATAGTAAGCGCAGTCTTACACGCTGTTATATAATTACAATTTCTTTAGAACAATTTGCTAGGAATTCAGTACTTCGATTTGCATTCGAGACTTGAAATTGCCTACGTTAGTCATGAAACGGCATAATCGAAAAATTCTAGCCGCAAGACGTATTATTAAATCATTTGCAGCATGTAGCGTGTTTTATTTTTTAACTAGACTATTCTGTCTAAAGTATATTAAACTTACAAATGTGTTGTAAAATAAACAACGGATAACGGAAAAGTGATTTTAATTTCGATAAAGTCGCCCGCCAATGAAATCTAAAGTGCCGGTGTTGTTGGATTGTTTTTTCAATAAAGATATCCAATATTGTAATCATTGTAGAAGTATTTGAATTTTTGTTGTTTTTGCGGTACTAAGCGGTTAAGTATTACTTAATAATCCATCAGATTTACATGGTCATCACTCATCGTGACACACCTAACATGGCAAAAAAAAAAAGGTTAATTCGCAGTGGGTTTTGCGCAAATGAAGCCGACCATACTCCTGTACACGTTGCTGTTGTGCTTTTTTAATTATTATTTTTTTTTACAGTTTAAGTGTACTCTTCTTATGTCTAACTTTGGCATAAGTCGCCCACATTCACAGCATTCAAGTTTTGGAATGTCTGATTCATCGATACAGTTCCACACCACTGACGGATATTTCAAGTTCCAGAGTTGACCATTAAAGTGTCCTTGTAGGTTGTTCGATACGAATGACTAAGCGATGGTTCTGCTCCAAAGCTTTTTGTCAAGTACTACTTTCAGATATCTTATAGAATCGATGCTCTGGGCAATATCGTTGCCAGTATGAGTGTAATTGCTTAGGAAAATATATCCTATGAAAACGTTTTGTGGAATGCAACGTAATCGCGAAGACCGTGGCAACAATGTAATTGTCGATGATAAAAAATAATAAATTAATTCGTTGCTTAATTAGTCAGAGACAATAGGTAGGTGGTGGTAATTATTGTGCATACGGTTTTTAAAAATCCCCATGAGATGATACACTTTTATCGACGGTGGTTCAATTGGTGCCACTAGGTCACTACGGTTCGTTATTTAACGCCAAGCAGAATTTTAATTTCGCTTGTACACTTTATTGCTTTGTGTTTGGTTTCACCGCGGAATTGATTACATTTTTCACGGTTTGCTCGGATTGCCCGGCCGTTTATATATGTGTTTGTCAGTACAAATTCCATATACCTCTCAACCTACCTACCCAGTGCCCACCGACTATGAAGGAAGTATGTATAATAGTATGCGTAATGCGTTCCCATGTACAGACGCAATCGCAGCCGAAGTGATTGAATATGTATATAATGACAGCAGAAGGCTCGGATTATCGGAACAGTGACCGCGTGCAAAATTCAAGAGCGCTTCCACTGCTTGAACTCGGTCATTAGATGACTGGCCGGGACCAGCAAGACCGATTGTTTTTACAGTCGGGGCCCATTTTTCTGCTATTATATTATGTTTTATTCCAAAGATGAATGTGTGATGTGTGTGCACGGTAACGGGACTAGCAACAAACGGCCGCCATCGACGCACGCACGGCGGTCGCCGTTGGCTGGTAATTTGTTTAAAAATACAAAACCGTTCAGTTCATCTGTTGTAAAAAAAATAAATGCAAATCACAGCAGCAGTCACTCACCTTGTAGGTCGTCGACGCATATGCGCAAGTCGTCCCTGAACACCGGCATGGGCTGTATACACTGGCACCGACACCCTGTAGCCGATGAAGTCTGTCTGCCTCGGCCGGCCGAAACGGGATCGTCCATCACGCCACCGGGTCCGTCCAACTGAAGCAACGAAGCGGTACCGCTGCTCGCTCCCACGCACGTCTCCATCGAGCATTTCAAGTCTGCAACAAGATTTGGATTCGAGCATGCAGGCATAACGACAAACTCGCGAGTTTCGCCCAATGATCGTCGTACAGGTTTCCCGATCCTGAACTCTCCCTGTTTAGAAGAGCTGTTCTTATTCCCTAATAGCCCCGAAGTTCCCACAATCTCCCCGCAACAATTGGAAGCCAACACTACAAACCCACGTACGCCGAAAGTTCTTAGAGCTATGAAGTACCAAACTTCGTGGAGTAGTCTTATAAGCTTCCTATTCGATTCCTGAAGAATAGGTTTCCCAGACTCCCCAATGCTGTTAGGGATTTCGACGCTCCATACGAATGCCAACACATTTTATGTTGCCAGACTCTCAAGTCTGGCTTAACATAGGATTTAAGTTTTGTTTATAACGTGTAAAGCGTCGCTATATTGTAGGGTCAAAGACTCTCTATACTGCCCAATGATTAATCCGAGTACTACAAAATGGTTAAGGAAGGCTGTGAATGGCAATCGATGAACATATAAATAGGTTACCCATATTAGATTAGATGTTTGTGTCAACGGGGAGACCATTTAGGGGTGGAAATTGAAGCCGTCGTAGTATACAATGCTACACTTAAACAATTTATGAAAGCTATAAAGATCTAAAATAATTAACATGAAGAACCGCAGCAAACCGATTAAATGAAACACCTTTAACGATATAGGAGTAATAAAATTGTAATTTGTAGAAACTTTAACATGCGTCATCAAAGTATTATAGTTTCGATTGCTCAAATGATTTAAATACAATTACTCTCAATAATTATTGAGGTTTTCAATTAGTATTGTTCTTCTGAATATAACTATACCTAATTATCATTGGTAATCGTCATTTATTTGTTTAATAAATCATACAAAACGGGCTAAGATAATTAAGAGTTATTAAATAATTAGCAAACGTTGTTACAACGACCAATAGGCCAAAATTACCGAATTATATTATTTTGTATGAGCTTTGTCCTTTTTATAGTTGGCTGTTACGTTTTTATACTATTGCAGGTATTTAATAATTAATTACCCTCATATTATTTGCTTTTGAATTTATGTCGTTAATTGTTTTATTGAGTCGCTTCTTTACCACTCACTTCAGTTTGATTTTATTATTGCAAATAACGTTTCAGCCACAAATAAGATTTATGACGAACACGTTGCTTAATGTTTAATTTATAACTTATTATGATAAAACATTTAAATATTAATATATCAACAATAAAACTGGTAGTGTAGTAAATCTTAAATGTATAATGACACAACTGTAAGCGCTAATAGGATTATTAGTAACAGTAGCTTATTAATGGCGGGCAATGTTTATGTAAAATATTTGTTATTTTTTTTGTGCATAATATCATTATATCTTGTTGAATAAAGAACCATTGAAAAAAAAACAATTTATTTATAATAACATCTATGAAACACAATAACTCGTCACATATACTTTTAAATGATAAATGTATAAATACAAATACTAGTATGTTTAAGGTAGAAAGAAAAAAGTAAAAAAAGATACTTTTAAATTTAATTAAAATAATAATATTTTACAACAAATAGCTAACTGCGAATTACTTTTTACAATTTGTATTAAAAGTTTGTTTATTAAGTATTTCTACTAAACTTTTCCCATTTAAATGAGTTTGATCTAAGATGTTTGCATCGTGTATATGGCTAATAAACTGTTAAAACAAATTTAATTACCTATAGGCTATTTGTTATTAAAAATAAGTAAAGCGATTTGTCAGTATCTGCCCACAGATCATTTTTCGATTACTTGGTCCGGTGTAAGTCAATCATCCAGTTTACTTTTACTACCATAAACGGACGGGTTAATAAAATACCTTTGGAGTTGATTTTTATAAATACATTTTAAGTAGAGACTTTCGTAGGCGTGCTGTTAATATTTTGATTTATATTCAATGTCAGTGTGTACTAATAATTTGTTTAATGTAAAACAACACGTCTACTGGTCCAGGAAGTGTAGGCCCACTGTGGTTAGTCAATCCACAATACAGCTGCTGATTGTCTACTACTTTTACCCAACACTAATAAAGACATATTTTTAGCATTATTATAGCCTGCAGTTAATATGAACTTAATTAAAAAATGTTCTATGTACATTTTTGTCTTGATTTAAAAATAACAGTATGGATGTATAATCTGATTGAGGTATCAGAGAGTTGTGTATTTTGCAAGAACGTGGAAAATAGATTGATATTAAATTAGAAATTCTACATTAATAGACCTGAGACCAGTTCTAAATTTGGGTGAAAACAAAATCAGGTTAACAGTTAAGTTTAATTTTCGTAAAATATGTCATTTTAAAAAACAGTTTTATGCATCTTTTAAAATGAAAGTTCTTTAAAATAAGTGTTTTTTTTTTTTAATGATCTACCTATGTATATAGACAGTTTTTTTGTATGGTAATAAGTGCACTTCCGACAAAAAAAAATGTATAATTCAAGTTTTAACTGCGTTATATATTGTATTCATTGTCACTAAATATTAGCAAAAGGATATTAATTATAAATGACACTTTAAACTGTATAAAACAAATGGAAATTCTTTGAAAAATCTAATCAGGCCCATCTGAAATATCGTTATTTTGGTACTTATAGTTGTTATATTTCTTAATAATTAAGTCATCGATATGATATGTTAAGTTCTTTTACTTAATTGCTATTTATAATAGTTATTATTTTCACAGATGATTACCTGATAATTCGAACATGTCGCCGCGGTGATGACGGGTGATGGACACGGTGGCGCAGACAATGTGGACGGCGGCGAGTACAATCACCGGCAAGGACGCGCTTAGCATCGTCCCAAGTGCGTCAGACGCACCCGACGACTGACTAACCCTCACCACACCAACACTCGGCCATCATCCGAATGACCGTCGTAAGCTAAAAAAAAACAATCAATATAAATTATATTATAATTAAAATAAGAAATTAAAATACCGTTCAAAATATGATAAACGTTTGTACGCATTTTGAAATTCTTGTAGGCGACCATACAGAATTTTACTTAAAATTCTAATTTTATCAGGCGTGTGATACACTGTTATATAAAAAGGGGCTAAAGAGTAAGTTGTGTATTCTCTACTGATCCGTGTACAAAAGAATAAACACAATACAAGTATTTCGACACACCAAATACACAATACAAGTATTTTTGGGCACCAAATACAGAATACAATTGTTTTGAAGCACAAAAATACAGAACGCTCGTGTTGATTACAAGTGGTTTCAGGGTATTTATTTGTAAATTAAAAATATTGTTCAACTTCCAACACGAAGAAGGTATGTGAACTTTTCTTAAGTGCATACGATGACAATAAGACTTATAAACGATTTTATTATACCCTGTGAACATTTGAACCATAATACTGTGAGGTAAAATGAACGGGCAAAGTGTCTCGGTTTACTATTTATTTGAATTCGTCGACTTGATTTTTTTTTTCCAATTCCAGCACCGATGATTTTATCTCTAACAAATCATAAAATACACATTAATAATAAACAAACCCTAATTAGTCGTGGTAGGCAACCTAACCGAGAACGTGGAAACCGCTTTCGATTTGTCTTCCTCTGGTTCGGTTGACAAGTCAACGATTTACAAGTAAGACGTACCTCGGCCTACCCTCGACCGAAAGGGTTAAAAAAAACCTTGTACACGGAATGTCCGACGCCATAAGAGTTAATGGTCGAATAAAAAACCTATCCATTAAAACGGTTTGGATTCGAAACGATTAATGAAATGACCGGTGAAAATAATCTGTGCTGGCCGTGAACAACCAAAACAAATGGCCCGAAACCGAGTTTGTCTTAATTATTATTATAATAAAAAATATACCCTAGAATCTTTATGCGTGATTAACGGAACGCTTTAAAGTGCATACATATGAGTGTGCTCACACTATAAGTACTCTGTAAATGTATATTAATATTTTTATACAACGTGTGTGTACAGTGAGCGAGAGAACTGGTCCGAATAATATTGTTGTCCGGTCCGTGCGAGGTTAATGGATCAGAACGACTGACTGTAGATAATAATAATAATTTATACAGAGTATTTACCTTTATGTATTTATAATTCCAGTACTTACCCCGGCTACCTATAGCAATAATGATAATAATAATACTATAATTATCGTCATACAGTTGACTCTTCGGCGGACACGCGCTTGTGCTATATAATAATACGAATAGTATGTACATCCATTATTTTGTACTACTATTACACTATTTATTAAACCTACTCTGTTCGGTATGGAATACATATTATTTTTTTTGTTCTATAACAATTGATTTGGCGTGCGAAACGCTAATTTTTTAAAGTGTGCCCCGAAGAGTACTGGCTGAGTAATAATTATAATATGATGGTAATTTTATGCACGTTACGACCATAGAAATCATTGCACATCCGGAAAATCAAACGACCCAATAATATATTATTATTATTTTGTACCGGATGGTTTATTTGTTTTTTTCGCGGTCCTAATAAATGTTTTTTTTTTTACATAAAAACAAGCCCTCGTTACCAATACAACATTACCTATTAATGCAATATCAGTATTAGTATACAATATGTAATATATAAAACTCATCTGACTTCCTAACTTGACCGTGGAATTATACTTATCCGACTATGGAACTGGCTCATGAGACAAAATTATCTACTCACACCCCTATTTTATTGTAACTGTTGCACACAATCCCGTTTATGATTTAGTAGTTTTATTTATAAAAGGTTTTAAGTAACTCAATTGTTTATGAATAGGGTCAAATTCGTTCAATTAAAACTCTTGCTATTGGTTAAAAAATAATTTCGAAAAATTTGGTATTCACAAATTTAAATAATTGCATAAGTGCTATAAGAATTAAAAATGTTTTTTGTAATTTTTTTTCAAGTAAAATTGTATTTTCAATTGCTGTTTGGATAATTGTTTATGTTGTTACAACCGATCAGATTGATATGTATAATAATATTTGAGTTTTTACCGGTCAAACCTAACAACGTTAACCCAGTTCGGACCTTTACCCGCAACACAACAATATTGTATCCTGTTTTTGTATAATATACCTATTATTACCTACCTACCTATTATTATTATTATTATTATTATACACACGGGTGTTGCGGTAAATCCGTTCGAAAACCGCAATCGCGTGTCGTTAAACACGGTGAGCTCTATGATAATAATTATCACATTTAATGGGTTCACCGGGCGTGTTATTTATTATATTATTATTAAAAAAAAAAAAACCGTGGAAAGTCGGTGAAAATGTGTGAACACTTTTAACCTGACCCGACCTGTATGTAGGTATGCGCGTGCACGTGCTGTCCAATTGAAAGACACCCTGTACACAATATAATATGTACAGTGTGGGATCATCCGTCGTAACACAACGTTTTCGACATGACTTTTTAAATAATAATAAAAAAAAATTACCTACTCGAGAAGTGTTATTTCATTCTTCGACCGCTTATTAAGTAAGTAAAAAACTAAGATGTAATGGACGAGCAATTACAATAAAATATACAGTTACCTACGCGCTATGATTTATGACGGGTATAACACAATAGCTGTTGTTGTTATCCTATTATTTCAGTCAATGACTGATGTGTGTGTGTGTGTGTGTGTATTATAACTTATTATAGTGATGACTGACTAATATTAAGATAATGATATAATATTCAAGTATTTCAGTTGACTGGGCACACGTAGAACAGGTAAAATAATATCATGTCGTTGTTGTGAACGCCAAACAGTAGCACGTCTTTAAAATTAATATATTATGTTATTTCAATAAGAATGTTTTTTTTTTTTTGTTTTAAAACAATTTTTTTACCGCGCGTGTAATATTGAAATATAATCATGGCGTTAAAAATAATAATATTGAACGTTTATTGCAAAAGGGCGGTACCAGAATTTAATATATATTTTTTTTTACGAGCAGGTTTTATTTTTTATTGACCGTTTTAGTCTTTAGACCACGCGTTTATCCAAGCCACGCCTCCAAAGTGATTTTGTTAAAAACTAAAAAAAATTATACGATCCGCGATTATTTTTTGAAATTTTCTTAGAAAATAACATATCAAGCACATGATACTTTTGTTAAGATACGGTTAAAGTAGGTCTTCCGTTTCTCACTTAAAAATATTATTCCCACAACTCGGCTGAAATAATGGACATTTTTTAACAATAATTTGTGCTTAGTATTTTTGTAAGACATGAATTGCTTGGCTAAACATGATTTAGTATTACATGTGTAATATTTATATGTAAATTCATGGTAATCAGGAACTATTTTTTGAGACACTAATTGTGCCATTATATTTCCTGCCAAAGACATGCTGTAAAAATATTTTAACTATATTATCCGTAAGTGTTGTGACAGCTGTAATAAAATATTATAGTTTTTCGACGAAAAATGACTAATTTGCTTTGAGTTTCAAACCCAACCTAACAGTTTATGAAAACAATCATTTTTAGTGTAATAAAAATATGTATTATTAAAATATTTAGTTGGATATATTTTAATGTTAAGGCTTTTTATTGGAAATATTCACAAACCGTATATGTTGTAGTGTTATGTTTGCATTGTTTAAAAATAAACAAAATATAATATTATTATCGATCCAGTTAATTATAAAATATACAAGTACCTACCTACACATTTATTACATATGGATTTTTTAAAAGTAAAAATATATTTTACTATATTTTGTGAATTCATTTTGAGCCCAGTCCTTCTGACGCGTTTCCATATGGTTGCCGGTTGGTAGAATTTCAGGGATTTCCACACCAATGTTCTCATCTTCATAGTGCATGTGTAAGTAGAATTATATTTGTAAAGCATAAAAAATTGTCAAATTTTGAATTGCAAAATTAATATTAAAAAAATAAAAATGCACTAACTACTAATAGGTAACTAATAACGTAAATGTTTTCATTTTGCGGGAACAACATTAGATGATAAATATTATGTCTAATATTTAATGGTCTAAAAGAATTTTCCAATTGGTTGCCTCTTATCAGCTTATTCTCTTATCATTCATGTCTTAACAGCTGATTTGCTTGTCAATATTATATTATCAGTTATGTACACCATCCACACGCCTTGCCAGTTCTAAACTGGTCATCTTCCTTTTGAATTAAAAATTACTAATATTTTTTTCAAAAAGAAAATAAACTATTATCTAACATCAATATTTCTTTTATTATTTACATTATTGTTTGGAATCTTATTTTTTTATTTGACATTTTCAGATAATTCAAATTATTCTTTTATCTGCTAACATACTTTACATTTATAAATTAGGTTTTTAATGCTCTTATTAAGATGTTATTTAACGTTATTACAAAATAAAAATATAATTACATTTAATAGTTTTATTATATTTTAAATGTGGTAATGTTATGTCAACAAGTTTAATATTGATTCCAAAACTATAATGGTATGTTTAAGTAAAATAATAATTGCTTTATTTCATAAAAAGGACAGGTAGAACGGCTATGGGTAATAAATCATATTGAAAAAAACATATCAGATTGGCCTAAGGTGGGTTTCCTCACCATAACTTAAATTTAGACATCACTAAACTAGTAAGACGACTTATATAAGCTCATAATATTTAATGCGGCAAATTTACATTTCAATTGATAAGGTTTTTAGAACAGCATTTTTTTAACTTCATTTTCAAGCTATACGTTTGCAATAAGTAAAATATAAAAAATGAATACCCGATAGCGAGCATAACCTAACCGGTACATGTAATTTTTAAGTTTCTTTCGAATCATAAACAAAAATATCGCACAAGTAATAATTAAAATTGGAATACAAAATTAATATAAGAAAACTATATTTTGTTTTCTTATGTTTAGAACATTAACATAACTTTTTCGGCATTCAAAATAATTGTAAAAGTAGTATAATTTTCCATTAAAAACGAAATAATAATAATATAACCGGAAATTGTATGATGGTATATTTTAATAATTAGTTGTAATATACTTAT